TACTTTACAGTTTATATACTTATACGCCCACCAATGAAGTTATAAACTAAATTTATAATATTATTATTTACACCACTAATTATCACATCATAATTAATAAATAATAATATTTGTATAATTTATAAATTATTTTTAACCGAACCAGTCGCATAATACGCAAAAATACAGTGCATATTAATGATGTATTCATTTCTATTACCTATTATTTCTTAATAAGTCATGTTAAAATAATCTGATAATAATGGTAATAACACTATTCATTAATAATTAATGAATATAATATTTAATTCTTGTTGTTTAATATTATTAAAAGTACCTACATTATAATATTATGTTTTTTAAATAAAAACATAGAAACATAATAAATAATAATATATGTATTTTGTATTAAACATTATTTTTAATAATGATTCGTGGTTTACATTATAATTTACCACCTATTAAAATAAATGACAATATGAATAACGACAATAACTAATTAATTAATTAACGAATTAGATTATAATTATGTTTATATGAGTGTATTAATAACTATTATTGTTAGGCATCATAAATTATAATATAACTAATAAGGAATCATTGATTTTAGAATATATTTTAAAATCAATGTAAAGAATCAAGGTCTATTAATATATATAAATTATATTATATTATACTGTAAGTAATATATATTCATGGACTAAGATATAACTGGACTAAAAAGCCCAATCATTAATCACTAGGCAGTCTGGGCTGCTTAAAGTCCTGTTGCTAGTGTTGCTACCAATGAGAATATTAATATAATATTAATTTATGTCAATTTATAATAATATATATTGTCAATTGTCATGTCGCGTACTCGCGTTGCGTCGCGATTTAATAGCAATCGCCAGTTGCTTTTGGTGAAAACCACAAATATTATACGTTTATTATTCGAGGTGAAAATTAAAAACACCAACTTGTCCAACTTACACTGCGTTTATAAATGTAACCGTAAAGTCAAGGTTTACGACATATTCGATATTTTGATTGTCAATACACTCGATATCGTTATCGTGCAGACTGTAGATAATTGTGGTGTCCATGGAATTAGCCGAGCTAAAATTAGTGGTAAAACCAGTGTTTGGCGAGTTCCTTGTAAAAAGGAATTCGTTCCGTTCCTCGTTCTTTTTAATAAAAAAGGAATTCGTTCCGTTCCTTGTTCCTTAAAAAAAAAAAGGAATTCGTTCCTTTGTCGTTCCTTTAAAAAATGAACGAGTTCCTTTTTAGTTCCAAATAAAATAAAAATTCTTATTTAATCATACGTTTTTTTTATTCATAGCTGATATACTTAGATGCTTTACTTTTTAATTATACTACAAGTACATTTTTATAATTTTATAATTAGTAAATACTAAATACTGATACAAATATAATATTAAAATATTAAATTAAATATAAACTGGTTTTTTTTTTATTCATAAACATTTTTTAAACAATATAAATTAATATATATATAACAATTAACAATAGACTATATTATATTCTAAGAAATTAGTTCTTCTAAAACAGAACAAAATGACTGTACTAAAAGTACTACAATCTAAAGTGTAATTTTATTTTGTTTTAGAAGAACTAATTTCTCAAAAAGTTCATCTCCTAGTCTGTAACGTTTAACAGTCATTACATTGGATCCAGTAGAAAACAGTCTCTCGACAGGAGCACTTGAGGGCATTGGTGTATTGTACTCCAAAAACACTTTCATAACTTCTGGATAAGACAATAACATAGTTATCTCATGCAATGGACTTTTCAGATACATTTTTAAGTCATCTTCAGAGGAACTTTTTTTATTATTCAATGGAAGACAAAAAAAATTTTGTGCTTTATCAAATTCTTTGTTTGTAGTATCACTTGTATCATTTTCATCGTTTTCTTTACAGTAGAACAAAGCTTTCAAATTTTTTTCAGCTAAACACTGATCATATTTATCAAGCCAAATAAGTTTGAATCTTGGAATTAAACATGATGCTAATATTAATTCGTTTTTCTTCCAAATTGGTTCAAATCTTTTTTTAATAGATTCGATGATTGTTTGTAAAAGTGGTGCACAGTAAACTAACTTTTCGTTGTCGATCGCTTTTAATTTTTTTTCCAACGCATAAAGACTTGACAATAAAAAGCCCATGTACATACTTTCTTCCCCTTGTAAAAAGTCTAAGGTATCAGCTAAATGTGACATAACATCACAATACTCATTTATCAGTTGAATTTCTTGTAGTGTGAACCTTTGTATTTCACAATAGTCCAATACCTGATTGATCTTGTCTAATCCATTTTGTGCATTTAATATATTTTTTAATTGTAACAAAGCATCATACATGCAGTTCCACCTAGTTTTATTTGGTGTTTTAAAATAAACTCCTAAAATATCATGTATTTTTTCGGCTGCTAGAGGAGATATGTTTTGCTTAGACCACATTGATGTACATTTTCCAAGCATTTTTCTATAAAGCTTTTTAAAATTAGTATTTGTATTTATCATTTTATCAACATCCGATTTTGCGATAAGGTCCAATGTGTGACTTGCACATCTATAGTGAGGAGGTAATTGAATAAATGTGTCAGATTCTTGTTCTAATGCAGTTGTTGAATTTAATATATCAAATAAGTCAACATTCTCATTTTCATCATCCGAGTCTGGATCATTATCAGAGTCTGAATTATTGGTATTAGAATAAGTATTAAATGCCTTCACAAAGTTTGAACCATTGTCAGTGGTTGTTGAAACAATTTTATTTTGAATTTTATATGTTGTATAGATTTTATATAATGCCTTTGCAATAACATCATAAGTATGGCGACCTTGGAGACGACAGCATGCTAATGATACAGATTCTCTTTTAAAACTTTTGGAGTTTATCCAGTGACATGTCACCCCAATATAGCTCTTTTTTCCTTTGGTCCAGCAATCAGCTGTTGTAGATACATACAAAACTGATGATAATGTATTTGTTATATTGTCTACCATGGATAAATAAAGTTTTTCAATTTGTATTTTTATACTTTTACTGGACATAACCTTTAAATCTTTTGGTAAACCTAGTCTAACCAGATTTACAAACGAAGGTTTATCAACCACACTTAGTGGTTGAGTATTACTCACAATAAATTTCAATAACAAATCATTTAATTTGTGCTGAGTAACACCTTCTTTACCAGATCCACAACGTTCTAGTGTTAACTGATGCAAGGGGTTTGTGGTTTGATCAGTTTCCAAACCAAAACACTGTTTTTTAATAACATACTTTTGTTTGCCATCATTTAAAGCATTTTCAAAATCATTGTTTTTGTATTGATGTACTCTCTGAAACATATCAAATAACAAATAAAATTATTATATAATTTATTAATGCATGATTGTTTTAACAATTACATTACAAATCTAACATAATATAAACATAATCGGCACTTGGTCAAAACTCATGTAGGTGCATTTGCTTATTATGATTTACAAATCCCCAACTCACTCTGATTTCTTACTAATATTTTAAATTTTTACCACCACTAAAATTTCATAATAAGTCATCAAAACTATTCAAAATAACAAAACGGCATGAATCATAAAATCCCCAGGAGTCATTAAGCTTATTTTGGCATTAGGTACAAGAAAAAATATAATTTTTTTAATTTATTTACTTTAATTGGAGAATTAATAAATTAGTATATAAGGTATTTATTTTTATCATAAATAATAACAGTCAATTATTTACAAATATATAATATACAATAATATAAAATAACAACAATGTGTTACAGTTATAACTTATTTAATGGTTATTCAGAAAATTATAGTCCATAATAGGCATAATATATGGTTATCATTTTAAAATAATTATGAAAATAATAGTTATAATCAGAAAATTAAAATTGGCCATTATAATTTATATTTTACAAAATTTATTATTATTTTAAATGTTTTAAATTAAGTATTTAATTTAATTTGTTTATGTTAAAAGTTGAAATCTAGGTATACCGTATACCTACTAAATTATTATAAGGACTTGAATAATTTATTTAATTGCATTGAATATTATAATCTTTTAGAAAGTAATTAATTGATATTTAAAGATTTTATTATTTTAATCAACTGTCAATAATTTAATATTCTTAACTAAAAAATTCAATAAATTGTATTATAACATACCTTCATGTGTCGTTTAAGGTTTGATGGTGTGGTTTTTGATACACTGTGTAATTTAGTTGAAGGTTCACATAATACACAATGTACAAGCAAATTATTCCCTTTACTGCCTTTACATACAAAAAACTTTTCTATTCTTGGCCAAGGCATAGACGGTATCACTACAGTCTACAATACAAATGTTATAAATTAAATTAAATATATAAGTATGATTAAGTATCGAGTACCAATTATTACAAAAATTTTTCACAATTTAACATTTATAATTTATATGTACCTAGTGTCCTAGTACTAGTACTTACTTTATTGCTTGTGTCATCAACCAACACAGGATCATTAGGACTTGAAACAGTGACATGGTCGTTGTATATATTAGATGCTATAAAAAATGTTAATTAGATTTGTTGTTTAAATTTTAATAAAAAATGTATACCTACCTTTATGCAAATCTGAAGAAGTACTACACATTTCTTCTGGTGGATCATCTACGTCTTTTTCACTGAATTATTCAGCTTTTGTCACTGTACGTGGCTTAAAAAATTTGTCCATAACTTTAAATTTATTACTAGTTATTAACGAATAGTTAATTAGATATAGAGTATAGACAATCACAAGTCACAACATTACCTAATTAATTACGTGTAGGTATAACAAATTAATTCAATTCACTTCACATTATTCAAAAAATGAAAACGAAACACTGATACAGGCTGTCTACTTTGTCAGTGGCGTAGACAGAAACTTTCATTGGGGGGGGGGGGGGATATATAAACACCAAAAAACTAGAAAATATTTGTATAAAAAAAATTTTTTTTTTTTTTTTACAAAATGTGTCAATCTACAATATAATGTCTATTTTCCTAGATTTATGTGCCATAATATCTAGAATTTCTTCGGGCGTAATTGGAACTTCCCGATGAATTGATAATAATGTTAATCCATTTAATCTAGTCTGAAAATTAAATACAAAAATAGATTTATACCAACCTTAAAGACGAAAAATAACTATTAATTTTTACTTCAGCCATCGTATTTCTTAAGTATGTTTTAAGCCTTTTAAGGCACGAGAACGTTCTTTCGGGTGTTGATGTGGATACTGGTAAGGTACACAGTATTTTAAGTAGTTGATGCACATTTGGAAATATTGAGGAATTACATAGTCTCAGAGCATCTATAGCTATTGTAGGATGTTGATTTGTTAAATTCAATTTTGATTGCCAGATTTTTAACTCTGCAATTACTGTCTGAACATCAGTGTTAAGATAAAAATGTACAAGTTCTTCAAATTCTTGAAAGTCAATGTTGCCAGAAAATATACATTGAAAACCTAGACAGAAAGTCCATACTTATGATTTTTGTAAATAGTATTTATTAACAAATATAAATTTTAATGTAACTTGGGTACCTACCTTTTAAAATATTTTTGTGTATAAGAAATCTTTCTTTTAAATTAATTATAAAAGAGTCAATGTATGGTATTGCTATAGTAATTCTATAGTAATTTTCAGGTTGAATCGTCTTATCCTCAGTAAATATATTTGCACGATTTGCCTGTTTCTTAACTATACGTTTGATAGAAATGTTAATATCCAAAATGTCTGCCATTTTCTATTTATATTTTATAAATTAATATACTATATCTATTCCTATTTCCTATATTATAAAAATAATTTCTATGGACAATAAAAATTAGTATACCTCAGCTTCGTTATACATTGATTTAAATTCTTTTTCAATATTTTGTCTCAAATCCTCAAGCATAGATACATTGCACTCTGCTAACTGTACGGCTTCTTTCAAGTCAATATCATTTTTTTGAAAACATTTACACAAAGGTAAACCATAAGAAAATACCACCTATTAATACAATATAAGTAATTATAACCAACTAAATACAAAAAGAATCATTAAAACTCAAATATATTGTTTGATTACCTTAAAAATTTGAAGAGCAATTAAAAACTCGGAATCCATGGATTTTACCAACATACTGGCGTCAGTTGATGATTTATCATTAAACGTGGTTGATATTTTGTCCAATGCTTCAACAACACATGGAAAAAGTTCAACAAAATCATTGACAGCAGTATACCTCTCTACCCAACGTGTCGCACACAAACGCTTTAATGATTTAGATGATGGATTAAGATCACTATTAGCAATAGCTTCCAATAGTATACTGTGACGTTTAGGTGTGTTAAAAAAACAATGCATTTTTTCTATTACACCCAAACAGTTCCTAATAGATTGTTGTTCACACGATGAAGACACTGCCAAATTCAATGTATGAGCAGCACAGTGAACATATAATGCTCTAGGATACTTATTTCGTATTATAGTCTGTACTCCTTTAAATTTCCCTGACATATTACTTGCGCCGTCATAACCTTGGCCATACATTTTAGAGCAGTCAATTCCACAAGAATTTAAACCTTTAATTTAAATAAATTTTATTTTATTAATTATACACAACACTTTATATATTCATAAAATACCTTCAAGAATAGTCGAAGCCAAATGCTGACCAGTTAAGTTATGTACTTCAACATACTTCAAAAAAAACTCACATAACTTAGCATTTTCTCCAGTACCATTAACAAAACGAACACACAGGGTAAGCTGTTCCTTAACTGACACATCTGCTGTCTCATCAGCTAACACAGAAAAACACTGAGCTGAATTTACCATCTTTACTAGTTTACTTAGTATCAGGTCACCACATATGGTAATAATTTCATTTTGTATCTGAGGACTGATGTATTTGTTTCGAGACTCAGATTCTAGATGATTTTTTAAATAATCTATGTCTTTGGCTTTATATTTTAAAATAGCTCGAAAATTACCTTCATTGGCTTCATTCAAATTAGAATTATTACCGTCAGACTCATCTAAATTAAACATAAAATTTTAATACAAAATGTAATGTATTATAATATACATAAGCACTAACTATTAAACTTGATTGAGCCAAAATCTCTATGTCCACGGAGTGAAATCTCCTGTCTTCCACAAAGGATAATACATTCTATGATTGGAATTAATTTCAACCTGTTTTGCTTCTTCTGTTTGATCCTAAAATATAAACTTATTAAGTACAAATAAGTTACTTCCTAATAGGAAGTTCCTATTGACATTTTTACAATTATACCTTTCATCGTCCAATTTATCAATTATTGAAGGTGCATTGTTTGAAAAAATATTTAAAAAATGTTCTGATTTCAAAATAGAGGTTTTGTGATATTCTAAATTATTATGATCCGATAAAACCTAAAATTAATTTTTTTATAGTAATCATTTTTCTAAATTATAATTTCTACATATTAATACTTCTGTAGCTTTCTTCCAATTTTGAAATGGTGTTGAAACAAGACTGCCTAAGCGTTGTGAGCCAATACCACCAGCAAAAGCAAAAACCACACAGTGCTTACAAAAAGCCCCATCAAATTTTTCAGAATAGGATAGCCATGGAAACACTTTCAACCATTTGTACTGGAATCGTAGACCTCTTTTTTTCCATAAATCTAATAGTGGAAACTTATAATTTTCTGGTGGTACCCATAGATCAGTTAATACCTAATAAGAATTGATTGCATATCAGCATTCAATAATTTATTAATTATAATTATAAACTATAAATATGAATAATTGCATAATTATTTTGCTTATAGTCTTTGTTTTATAAACCATTATAAAAAGGTTCTAATAAACTTACTATGTTTTTTTCACAATCCGACAAACTACGATTAATGAATAAACCTACATCATTAGCATTATGCATTTGCTGTAAGCTAGCATTTACCTTAAAGTAGAAAAAAGCATATCATTTAAATAAGCAGATAGGTAAGTGAAAATAATTATTATTGCTATAATAATTTGACTATATACTGATACTGCAATATTTCATTGTATTAATGACTAACCTGATCTTGATGTGTACTAGACGTTGATGTTGAACACAATTCAAATAATTCTCTATCATCCTTTCTGATTTTTGGTGGAGGAGATGTTTTTTCAACCGTACTGATTTTAGAATTAGATTTAACAGTAAAATAGTTTTTTATATTACTCATATTGATTAATAAAATAGAATAATGAGTTCACACTTGACACTTCACAAAATATGACAATATTATTATAAAATAATAAAATATAATTCATAATAATATATACTACTCCTAGGGATTTACGTGAAAATTGATATTATTGTATATTTGTATATTACAATTTACAATAAATAGAGATAATATTTTATATACCTAATATTGATAATAAAATAATCACAGTTAAAGATAGTATAGCCGTGATAATAACCAATAAACCACGGTTTAAGATTACATGTTAGCTATCGGTCACCTAACTGTATATCAATCACAGTACAGAACATGTTACGGGTTTAGTGCATAATTTCACCACATCTGTAGAGCGCTAGTAGTAAGTAGGGTCATAAAGTATGTTTTATTAGTATAGACTATAGATCAGTTTTTCTATTTTCGGTATTTTATATTAAGTTATATATGTTATATATTTTAAAAGTCCATGGGGATCCATCCATATCACCCCGTGTTCACGCCCATGACAACACAAGTAATATGATATATTTGGACAATATAAACGTGTTTACTTTTTAGTTATACATGGTGCAGCATCTAACACTAATACAGTTTTTTCATCTCATCCACCACCTAGCCATAATATTTTTAAACCATCGTTCACAAAATGTGTAATTGCCGAGTGATTAGTTTTTTTTTTCAATTTCTTACATGCGATAAAAAATGGGCAATTTTTATGTCACAATTTAATGCACCAACTAAAAAACAAGCTACTTAGTAGCTTATGATTTCTATCAGTAGTTTCATCGATAAAAATACAAATAAAAGAATTGTCTAATGATTTTCTAGTATGCTCAATTTTATGGCTTGAATGTAACATAGTTGTAGATAGTTTTTTCTCAGTGCTCTTATCTAGTATGTACTTGTTGGTATATTTCTCTAAAAAACTTGTAATTTGTACTAAAGTATATTGGTAACAATCATACTTGTACATAAATTTTTATGAAAATTAGATTGTAGTTTGTTTAAAACAGATAAGAGAGATTGTTTTTTTAAATCATTACGTTTTAGATTTTTGATATAAAGAGAGCTAGAAGTATGTCATATAATTTAAATTTTGTTTTTACAAGGTATTTGTTAAGTACAAACCTGACATAATATAATTTATCCATCTGTAGTTAATGCATTTGTTTCTTTATTAAATGGTTAAATTAATTGACTCAATAAAGTTTTAAATGTAGAGTGGATTTGCAGTATTTTAATCTTAAATTGAATTACTGATCTTTGAACTTATGTTAAATTGACAACACACCTAACGAGAATCAAATATTTAAATGAAATTTTTTAACATTTTTAAAGATTTATGATAATCACAAAATATACGGACGTCATGATATCATTGGAGTTTTTTTTATATCTCATATCTAATTACTTGATAATTGATTTTTTTATCAATGTTATGTTCTTATCAATATTGCATTGCACTTTTCGTCTTAATAAGGAAAAAAACAAAAGGTTAAAAATATTTTTTTGTAATTCATTTCATTTTTTACAAAATTCAACATAGTACCAAACACCAATATAAAGTTAACAAATATTTTTTATGTCCCCACCGCTGAATCACTACTGGCCATGATGATAAAGATGGTTCATCTTGATGGAGAGGGAGTTTCAATCGGTCATTTTTGACAGTATAAAACCTTTTTAAAATAATATATTTATTATGAAAACATTAAGTTTGGATTAAAGTATTTTTATATTTGTTTTCAAGTATTGAAGTCATTTACTTACTAGAAAATTGATTGATTTTTCTTTTACATCAATTGTTATATTTTATTTTCCTGAAAAAATTGATTTTGATGATTCTACCCCTTTTTTATGTGCAACCATAAATTATTTTTTAATTTTTTTAAAAATGAGATATTTTACCTTTTATTTTTACTGTTTAATCAGTTGAATACCTGGAAGATGTATTATCATTTTCCATCGGTATTGTTATTGCAGATGTTACGTTACTTTCACTTTCATCATTATTATTACCAGATTTTGAAAAATCATGTATAAAACATGTTTTCATTCTTTTTGCTGAAGTAGGCATATTTGCAACTTTATTAGATACAAATTTAATATGATTACTCGAACAATCTTTCCAAGCCTCTGAAATAAATGAAATTTAATATTAAGAATTTAGAACTATTTTTCATCCTTTTCTAATTAATTTTTACAAAATAGTAATGAATTATAATCATTAAACATTGAGTAGAATAACTTTTATAACACACAAAAAAAAAAAAAAAAACAACGTATAATATCTAAAAACAAATTCATTCATAGCATACCCATTAAATGTGATACTCTGACAGAATTAATTGAAAATGGATCGCTTAATTCATATTGTTGGTATTTTGTTTTATTTGAGTCATGAAAACCAATTTTTTCACCCAGAAATAAATCAATTATCCATAGAACATTTACAATGGGTATTTCTAAAGTTAAAGCTCTTCTTATGATTCCACCTTCTAAACTATAATTACAAATTTAAGTACATTAAATTATTATTAAATTGTTCATTGTTTAGTGGAGTATAAATTATGGAATTTTATATAATATATATAATTTAAACTTAATGTTGAAAACCATAAATAGCTAACTATCACATTGAATTTAAAATTTTTATTATTTAAAATATATAATATTATTAAAAAACGTTAGTGTTATACATTAAATGAAACACTTTGTGCACATAATATAATTACTTGTATTCTCACTACATTATAGTTAATTTAAAGCATTATATTTTTTTTCAATTTACAGTGTTTAAATAATTTTCATTACATTTTTGTTAAATGTTAACTGAAATAATACTGTTACAGTGTTGAGTTAGTTTTGTCACCTTATTATTACTTACTATACAACACTGATAATTTATGATTATAAAGTGCATTAATAAAAACAACTTACTTCTGACTAATTACAATATGAGTACTATTGGAAACGTTACTAGTTACACAAGCACCCAGAATTTCAGCCATAACTTTGGCTTTAAAATATTCATTTTTATTAAAATTTACAATTGCTATCTGGTTATCTTCACATGGTAAATTATCGTAGCTGAAACATAATAATTCAAAATATTTAATTCATTGCATTTAGATCCAGAACAACTTAACCTAACCAGCACCAATGCTTGTTATTAAGGAAAATATATATATAATGTGATTGTGTAGTTTCTATAATATATTACAATACATAATATATTAACAAACATAACAAAAATATTTTACCTGTATGGTATTGGCAAATGATGAGATAACCAAGGTTTTATTATTTTTTTTTCGCTAATAATATCGCTGAGCCAATAATCAGTCACGCATTTTTTATGATCTGATAAACCCTGAAAAAATTACGATATTAATAATTATTTATTTGCATAATATATCAAAATATTATTTTTACCCTAACGACTTCATTATTCTTCTGGCTGTTGCAAATCAAATGAGTTACTTTATTTGAATAATGATTAGCCACAGTACCACCATGCTCCATTATACGTTGTTCATTGAAATACAAGCGATCTGAATTAAGTTCTTTGTATTCATTAACAATCAAAAAGTGGCAATCAGATAAAAAACCCTTCACAGTAGATGCTGTGAAATAAAAATAAATTACTAATAACTTAAATTCTTATGTTGTTTAAATTTTTGGTAGATATTTTACAAAAAATTTAAAAGTATTAAGAGTTAGTATAATAATATATTATATATAAAAAAACTGGGAAGTAGAAAAAGTAGTCAAAAAGCATTATTGGGGAATTTCCTCAACAGCACTTAGTAAATTGACTGTTACAAGCCTTTTTTTTTGCTTTTGTCTAGTTTTAATAATATATATATATAAATATAAATTTGTTAAATAATATAATATACTTTTACTACAGAAAATTATTTTTTATAAGAAAAGTATTTTTGTTTATCTTACGGTTTAACTGGAGTTGTAACTTAGATAGTTGTATTTCAGTAATTCTATTTTTGTTGCAAAATTTACCTGAAATATACTTATAAATTAATTCAAAGAACATAGTAAAATAACATTTAATCTTTCACTAGATAACCTTCAATTAGATATACATGTCTATGTTGAATAAATTACTTAAGTATTTAAACATCTGACAAACTAAATTTTGGTTTGTCAGTTTTTAAAGCTCAATTTCAATTGAAGGTCAAACATACATAACAATGTTTTTATTGTAAAATATATAATAAATCAATGTATAAAGAAATGGTAAATATACCCTTGACGTATTTGGTATATAATATTTTAGATTTTAACTAGAAGCTTAATTTAAATTGAAGGCCAAACATAGATACATATATTACATATATTGTTTCTTTGTAAAGAACATAATAAATCAATATATAAAAGAAATTGTAAACATACCTTTGATGTACTTGTTTTCATAGTTAATATCATTAAATTTACTTGGAAAATCTGCTTCTTCTGATTGTAAAGTGATAATTCAGATTTTAACTTGCTAAATGATGGATAATATAAAATTAATAAAACTGTCAATATTCGAATATAATCAATCTTATATTAAATTAAACAAATATACATTTACATACTTGAGTTCAGCTAAATGTATCGATTGTAATTCATTTCTTTTTTTAATAATATATTTTAGATTTTCTAACTGATATTTTCCTCAGTTGAACTGTTATGTATAAAATAATACTTAATTAATAGAAGTTTAAAATACAATATTTTATAATACAAGATTACTCACATTTTTAGGTGTTTCATTTCTGCAGAAATAAAATTTTCTAATCTCTCGTTTCTTTAGTATAAATTTTCATAATCAACTTATTTTTCTTATCATCCTGTATCTTTATTTTATTTTCATATCTATGAAAATGGAATTATACATATTTTATTCCTAAGTCTAGTTTTTCCTATAATAAAATTTTATATTAGTAAACAAATAAATTGATTAGTGGTTTTAAGGTTTCTACATTTAAGCTTATTTCATCTCTGTCCTAACAATTTTTTGTTATTATAAATAACGTGATTTATGTGATATGATTAGTTTATTTAAAATATGTAATTTAATGCATTTATTAGAAAAACAAATAAGAGTTTTAATTTAAATTTAAATTACTTTACATAAACTTTATTCTAAAGCATTAAATACTGTATATTATATTTAGTTTGTTTTGTTGTTTATTTATATATATTCAGTAAGTAAAAGACAAATTATAAATTAGTTTATCGTGATTAGCTAAATTAGATGTTTGACAATTTTTATTAAAACTGAAAATAAATACATAATGATGATTTTATTTTAATCAAAAGTTATATGAATAATGTAAACCTTGAACAATTTGAAAAATAAGAGTAATATTTTATTTTATTCAACTGACGATAAAGATTCACGTTTAGATTTAAAATCAACATTTATTTTATATATAGTTTTATAAATATAAATCAAAACAGTCAAAATGTACTATATATATAAACAAGATGTAAATCATAATATGATTTATATATTATATGAGTAGAAAATAACTAGAGTTTTATTGTTTAAAAATGTGTAGATTAGGTATATCTTCATACAATATACAATTTATTTCAAAATATTTACACAATAAATCCAGTTCTTCTTTGTTATTATATCTTTGTCTTGCATAAAAAGTTTGATTAAATTGTTATTAATACACTGGTCGACAAGTTGAAGTTAATACTTCGGACCAAAATATCATAAAAATAAACATCTTTTCGAACAATAAATTAATAGGCAATATTAAAATTTGTTTCACCTATTTAACTATTCATATCAAAATGATAAAGATGTACATGGTGTCGAATAAGTAGATTCTCTATATTCTACAATTACGCACGAAAACATTTTCTGAAAATTAAATGAATGAAAAATAATGTAATGTGTTGTTCTACAACATTATTTGATAGATTATTCTCATATTTTTAGATCGCATTCAATTTCCCTGAAATCTTCCGACGATCACATGGTTTTACTTTTCAAATAGTTATAAATAACAAAATATGTTTATTAATTATTATTTATAGGTTATAATCAATATAATTTTACTATCCAGCTATAAATACCAGTCAAATAAATGATATAAGATAGTGTATGAATTAAGTTTAAGTTCGCTGTAATTGTATTTATCTATAGGATAAAAGTAATTAGTAACATAAAATTCTGGATTCTATATAATTCAAAATGTTAGCGACCCATATTTTGAGAAACGATATGTCAGATAATTTATCCATATTATTTATTTGTTGATTACAATAATACTATATTATAGGTAGGTACTATCTTATTCAAATTATTATAAATGCAAAATTATTATTTTATTTAAATGTAAGTACAAATACCTATATGTTTAAAGTTTTAAATTTAATGATTTTTGTTGTAAGAATAATATATTATTTGGAATACTGATGATATAGTTACAGTTACAATACAAGATAAAGTCGTATTTGCCAGAGTTTTGAATTGATGAACATATCTTAGTACGTCTATGTATGGACGGAGATGTACTGATCAAATGTGATTTTGTTATTTTTATGACAATATTAATACATTAAATAATTCTAGCATAAATTTAAATTTCCATGCATCACATGTACATAAACACAGAATATTACAAAAGCTTCATTATTTTCTATTGGTGATTGTATGAGTTATGTAGAATAAGAAATTAAGTAAATATTTGATAATAGACATCATAAATCTTATATAATTATTTATTGCAGCAATAATTACATTTAACTCTTTATTCATTTTATTTAGTTCACTAAATTTAATCTAGAATTGTACATACCATATTTAGTTAAGTTAGGTAAGCAAAACATTTTAGTTATAACTGTTGGTATTATATTTATATACTTAAATAATAATCTAATAATACATTAAATAAAAATTAAATTATTAAATAGTAGTAGCTTGATAAATACAGTTTAAATTACCATTTTAACAGATTTTAATATTTATATTATTGAAATACTTTATTATGGTGAATTTAGTCTAATAGTAATCATTGATTACAAAGGCCGTATACTATAAATATTATATGTATTTATGTTCATTATTAGGGCTCTTACAATAAGTTAACCACAATGAATTGCATTAACGGGTCAAGGTAGACAAGACGAATATTAAAACAAAATATTGTTTAAACGGTAACAATTAATTTTCGGCTGTACATATTTTCAAATAATACTTGTCTATTAAAATACTTTTGTGTAAAATAATTTTATTAGAAATATTTATAAATATTTATTTTGTAGTGACCTTATGTCGTGACCGTAGGTACTGTGTCTAGAACCTACGAAAGATACCATAATCTAAAAAAACCATAAGATCTTTTGTTTCACTCAAAATTTAAAACAGCTGATTAATGTTAAATGTATAATCAAAATGCTTTCATGAGCGCTATATTGTGATGATGCGAGTATTGCATAATATTAGGTTATGCAAAAGGAAATATTATATTAGATAATTACTCTCTCATTTAATAATAATTGTATAATTATACATTTATAAATTATTAGTTATTACGAGTAAATAATAACTGATAAGGACAGAATATGCAAGTTAAAAATCTGTGAAATTAATTTTCCTAGAGCCTAGACATGGATGGCTTAATCTGACCTGTTGATAGGATTCGAGTATAAAACATTATAACAAATTTCCAATTATTAATTATTACAATTAACATATGTTTAAAATTAAAATATTTATTTATCTACCAGCCGGACGAACGACAATGCTCTGACGAAAATATCGAAAGCATCGGCATTAAAACGTCCGAAATATAAACATATAGTAGGTATAATGGTTTAAAATTCCATTAAATATGCGATCCATGTATAATGGATGTTTCGGTTGACCCTATCTAAACGTCTCTGTCAATGTATAAAACATTTTGTTTGCATTTACTGTATTAACCGGTTAATATCAATATTTAGTCAATATTTGTATATATATAATATTGTTGGTAGTGTGTGTGCACACCCTCTTTCAAGGCCAAATACAACCCTACAAAGCATGGGGTTTATATGTACTAGAGTGATTCACTAAAATGTGGCATATATTGCCTATGTGCCAATAATATCAGTACGTTGGACTTGTTTATAACTATGAAATAGCTTATTATAATATTACGCAAAGCTTTTAGTCCCTGTTGTTGAAGCTGTTTAATGCAAAAAATTTTTTTAAATACATTAAATTAAAGATATAGTGTGTGTTATGAGCATAGACACGGGTCACATTATTCTTTAATAACAAGAAAGCCTCTTGTTCGAATTTCTATTTAGATATAAAAAGTATTTAAAAATATGATTTTCAAGTGAATTATATTAGTAAGTTAAAAGTATTATAAGATTTCGTTATATCCGCCGGATGTTTAGGTTTTTAAATCTATTTGAAAATTTAATAAAATACACCATAAAAATACAACAATTCTATGTAAATATATGTGACTTACCTAAATTTAACCTGCTTATAGTTTAAACTGTTGAAGGATTAGGTAACACAAAGTGGTACTCAAAATGCCTTGTTGAAATGAGAAAACACACTGATTATTGCTCGTTAAAAGAAAGTACAGTTTTCGTTCGCAGGAATTGGTATTGAAAAAAGTAGTGTCTGAGATGACTGTTGCTGAAATGGCTGTTCCGTCTTTACTGGCGAAGTAGTGAACGGGACGATACAGTCGTACCCGTCAGGGGTGGTTGCCTGATTGTGACAGTGTGAACCGAACCCACGGCGACTGATTTCTTTTTCTTACCCCGATTACGATCCGTACAAAGTTGGTAGAAAATACTATTTTCATTGATTATTGAAACTAAAGAATTATCCCAATTACGTTTTACGTATATTAACGTAACTAGAATAAAACCCAATCACAAGAGCTAATAAAATTTGAAAAGAATGGTAAATTCTAGTTCATTAAGATTAATAAAGGTGATAAACTGCAAGATTAAAAACATAAACTATGTACGATATATATATAT